AACTGGAGTTGAGGGTGCAACACAAGTTTCAGTCTCTTCAAGTCCGCCCGCACTTCTAGTTCTTAGTGTTTGCTGGATTCAATTATCCACTTAGTTTCCAACGCTTAGTGTTTTAACTACTTAAGTGTCCTAAAAGATAACTGATTCAGCATTTCAATAAGCAAATGTTTCTATAAAAACTTTTTAGTTTAAACATTTAAGGTAACTATCTAAGGTACCTTAAGTGTTTCACAGCACTTATAAAATGGCGGCAAGACTAAAGGAATGTGTAGCTTCCGGGGGCCTGTCGGTCAAATTCATGCTGTTGAAAAGGTTGATCCGTTTAGAATGGATGAAGGGATGTTCCGGAAGAGATACCGATTCTCTAAACCTTATGTTCGGAAAATAATCGAGATGACGTAGATTCACTTAGGTGAAAATTAGGTGATAATTCTTGTAATTTTAAATTAAAAACTTTAATTTTTACCAAGGTGAAATAGTCCCACAATTATCAGCGCCTAATAATCAAATCTCCATTTATATTTGCTGTTACCGGAGAACAGTATAGACGTTCTCAAAACGAATTTTACTTTAAGGATGATACGAGGCCTGTGTTTGGTAGACAGAGTGGTGCCTCCCATAACACACCAAGAGAACGGCCTTTTCTTGTATACTCCAATTAGACACTTTTTATCTGGAAAAAGATGAAATAGGCCTATAGTACAAGTCTCTACATCAATAATTCATACAACGATAATCGTTGCTGTATTCGATGTGAAAATATTGGGTTTTCTACCTCGAAATTTTATTGATTTATAATTAAAACCCTAATCAAGCCATTTCTGGAGCTATTGAGAAGAAGGTCGCCATCTTATATAAAAATTATTCTCATTGAAAATTTCAGAAAAAAATAAAATGAATTTCATTGGCTCAACCAATGACGTCTTAGACAAATTTTTATAAAGATGGCGACGTACTTGCAGTAAAAATACCAGCCTGATGGACATTTATCTAATTTGTACACAAGTACATAATGTCAAGTTGTTGTAAGGTAGATCTTATTCCATAATTAACTTAAACTTTACAAAATACTTTTAGTAACGAATGGTATCAAATTCATGCGTCTTTTCACTACCGAACGTTAAATATTTTATCGGTTTTTTCCTACCGGCTGTTTACATACTTTTATTTTCAGTAAGAAATCCCACTGTGACTATGAATGTAACGTTTCACCGATGTAGCAGGTCGTACATGTACTGCATGGGTACCGTCCATGGTTCTACTATATTTTTATATTATGTCTATAATTTAAATCAAGGATATAATTTGCTTCTTTGTCCGCGATTATTAAAGAAAAAAATGCCGGCTATAGTCAAATACTAATGCCAATTGTGTTTTCTTGTTTAAAGTGGTATTTAAAGAGATTATATAATGACTTTTGATACATTGCAAGCACATTATGGATGAATAAGGTCTGGATACAAATCGACGCTTTTCAGGAAAATCAGGCTGTAGAATAACGATGGCTCCCGATCAGCGTAATTTCATTGCCATTTTTGAATTACACCGGAAGTTATTCAACCGGAAGTTAAAGTCGGATGTAAAGTAAAAAAAAAACGTTCCATTTGGTTTACTTCAGTAAACTGTCTGTGCACAAAAAATGAGACTAAAATAAAAAAATGAAAAAAATCATACAAAAAGAGATTTTGATAAAAAAAAAACAATAATATGGGATAGTTTGTTACATACCAATGTCCTTTTATTATATGAACAAGGTAATAATTATGTTTTGGCTTTTGAATATGCGACAATAATGTTTTTTATAGACATGGGGGGAAGTTCTAATTATCATGGTATTGAATGATTGGGCTTTTTTCGCAATTCTGTTATAGATGGGTATACATGTAAAGATGATCTTAGCATCTGTTTGGCTGTTGAGATTAGTTTCTAGGTTTGCTGAATGATGTTTTTACAGAATAATCGCGGTTGTTGATACCTGCAAGATGTTGTCATTTTCGAAGATTGACTAGATGTGATTAATTTGTGCACCAGGTTAGTCTTGGTAATTAGGTTTAGGTCAGATGATCCAGTGATTACGTTAAATGTATGTACAACATGGAGATTCCATATTAATTTGTCTTTGGTTTGGTGATAAAAGGGTTTGGTAGATGGTACAGGGTTGAAAGTTGCTGGAAAAGCAGCATTTGATACGACTGTGGTCTTGATCGAGGAGAGACATGTTTGGACATACGACTTGACAGTCCAACTATGCACAGGCGAAAGCTGGATCAAGTGGGGAAGAATGGAAAGGGGATCTGGAAGAGAACGGGGCAGACGGTTTCCCTATTCTGCGTAAGCATTTACCTGCGTCTGTCGTAATGGATAAACTACAAACTCGTTTCGGCTTTCAGTATCAAGTGGTACGGAATTATTACGGGGCCGGTCCATGGGTATTTTTCATTATGTTAAAAAACGTTCAGCAAAAGGTTTTTATCTAAAAAAAACTTGTCAAATCATAGCCGGGATATATTTTTAAATAATTCTTGAACACCGCGAATCACGCATATATATTACGAGTATGCTTATATTACGGTTTGGTAGATGGTACAGGGTTAAAAGTTGCTGGAAAAGCAGCATTTGATACGACTGTGGTCTTGATTGAGGAGGGACATGTTCGGATATACGACTTGAAAGTCCAACTATGCACAGGCGGAAGCTGGATCAAGTGGGGAAGAATGGAAAGGGAATCTGAAAGAGAATCTGGGTAGACGGTTTCCCCATTCTGCGTAAGCATTTGCTCGCGTCTGTCGTAATGGATAAACTACTAGCTCGTTTCGGCTTACAGTATCAAGTGGTACGGAATTATTACGATGCCGGTCCATGGGTATCATTATGTTAAAAGACGTTTAGCAAAAGGTTTTTATCTAAAAAAAACCTGTCAAATCATAGCTGGGATATATTTTTAATTCTTAAACACCGTGAATCACGCATATATATAAGTTTGCTTATATTTGCACCACTAACTGTTGTATTCTGATAACACGGCTCTAACTTCGCAAAAAGAGTCGCAAAGTTTCATGTTGGATATAGAGTCCAATTGACATCATTGGGATGGTTCAAATAGTAAGCGCTCTAATGTACATGGCACGCCACAAGAAAATACTTATTTTTCTATTCTGATCTCAAGCAGAAAGTAGTTTGTTTGATGATAATAATTCTGGTGTTGATTTTAATTGTTCTTGTTTAATGCAAAGCTGAGGGTTAATGTATGTTACGTTGTCTGGATATGTGATAAAACCTTTAACACACTGCATTATTTCAGTTATAATAGCTGTACTGTTAACTAAAGAGAATGGAGCTTGGTCGGGTATAACAACGTGCATTAAGTCTATTGCAAATTCTACAAATATTGAATCACCAGCAACTGACATCGCTACCCAAAGGAATCACACATTACAGACATTTAAAGCATTTTGTAGGTAAGTAAGTACTGCATTTTTAAAAGTCTACTTGAAATTACAATTGCAAACTTTTGCATAGGCATTATGAATTTCCAGCTTGACTTTCTTTAACGGTTATGTTATCTAAATATAGTTCGATAACCGTACTTATACCCACATTTCACCAAGGATATTCTGGTCCCGAAAGTACCCTCATTTTTGTAAAAAAAGTCGTGAACGTGGAAGTGACCTATCTTCGCGAGTTGCTTGGTTGAGAGGCCGAAAATTGATGATCCCTGCTCGAGGGAGGATGCTTAGCTGCCGATATTTGCCGTTCTTCGCTCGGGAGTGAGTGGCCGAATGTAGGCGTATGTTGACACTGGGAGTCGCAGGATATTTGGCATACGTCTGCACGGTGGTAATCGGGCACTAACGGGAACAACGTCTGAGATTCGTAACTCGTGGTCGGGCATCAATCCGGTAAAAAAGGGGGATGATTTGAGGCGATCCAAGACGACAATCGGGTCACTCTACTAAAACTAAATCATCGAGGACAATCTAGTACAGATCGGGCCGATCGAAAAAAACAAGCAGGAACACAGCAGATGAACGACCAGGAATATGGAGGTCAATCCTATTCAAAATTAGATGCTATGTACTTATGTCTAATACATACGACACGATACATCTGTGCAATGTTCAAAGACAAAATACCTCTTTTACTAATGTCATAATTCGTCTAATTCATAATGCAAATGTTAAATTACATAAAACCACCGACACAATACCTAAAATGATACATGCTATGTCCTTTCACATTCTACATTGAACAAAGCATAATTGTCTTTGCGTCTTTTACATTGCACTAGTTACATTACATCTTTTATCTTTAGCAATATTAAATCATACACACTAACTTCTCCCCAAGGAACTCTGATGGACACTGACCACTAATTTATATTACATCATTATTCAGCTGCATAATTAAAAACCCTGTTTATCTTGATTTTTGTCTATATTTTGAAGTCAAAGGAAACACATGGCTTTTATTTGACACATTGCAAAATGTTCAGGAACTATCGTGGAAAACATACTGAAGGTTTGAATTTGTTCTGCAACATTAGGGGAGTTAAAGGTGGTCTGACTCCGTTTTTTAGGCTACACCTGGTCATATTACTAATTTACATCTGTTTTGAACCTTTATTCAGTAAGACGTGCACATTAATAACGTCAATTCAAAATGTACTATTAGAGCTAAGTCATAGATTCCGAGTAAAAGCTAATGACATAGCATCTGGTCGATCACTTTGTGTATCTAAGCATCAAATAGAAAGTGCGTATAATATTTTATCTACCCTAGAACTTGATTACAGTCACCTCAATTTAGAAAATTTACAAATGTACAAATAACCCATGTTTATCAAGCAAATGCGGAGGTCACGCGAGGTTGCACATGTAAATTATTAATCCTTTCCGGAAATACACGAAAAATAGGTTAACACGAAATTAGGTTACTTGACTGTTCATATCCGCTTTGTTGAAAACTCTCCTAGCACACCTAGGGCAGAGAAGATTATCAGAATGCATCATTCTACTAGTGAAACTGTTAAGCATACAATGACATCATCAGATTGTGACACTAGACCAACTAATTTACTTATTAAAAGTAAGTTTGTTCCAAAAAGTTTATCAGCAGTGCAAATGATGAAACTTGGTAAGGCAATTAATGATTCAGTGAAACGGATGGAAGTAACAGAATTCTTAATCAATGAAATGTGTTTGTCGGCACCAACCAAATTTTCAAGTAGATAATGAACCTTTTGGTACAGTGTTTAAGTACATACAAGACACCATTAATTCTACAAAGTTTTCTGATAAAACATGGGTATTGAAAAAACATCTTCCAAAAACTATTTAAAAAATTGAAGACATTAATCAGACAACACACAAGGAAACAAGTGCAAATGCACTGTTAGGTCAGAAACATTGCTGGGAAGATAAACTTCGACATTGAAAGATTAACAGGAAATGGTAAAATATTCCACATAACTAAAAAACTTATTGACAAATATAAATATTGTAAAGTCAGAGACGAAATAGACTTAAAAAGAATTGACACGAACGCAAAGGTAGGTGGATTTTTACCTCTCCTATCTGTAATATTTGCTGGTGTTACCGCGGCTGGTGCAGCAACTAGTGGGATATCTGCCGCAGTCAAAGCAGCCAATGCAAAGAAAGCAGCTCAGTAAAAGCTACAGAAGAACGCAGACATAATTTAGTAATTGAAAAGGACGCACGAGGTTCAGGAGTAGCAGATATATTAGGCACAGTAAAAGAATTTAGATATCGATTTAGTCAAGAAACAAAATAAAAAATAAAAAATGGGAAATAAATTCAAACATTCAGAAATATTTCCTAGTAACCCAGTGCTTATGTGTATTTGCGGTAGTTCAGGTTCTGGTAAAATTCATCTCACTTTTAACATGTTGACAACACCAAAACTTTTAGATTTCGATTCACTATATATCTACACAACAACTCCAGAGCAATCGTATTATCAATTCCTCAAGGCTTTAGAATATTTACCAAAGAAAGATGTTCAAGACATATTTCAATATTATGAAGACAACGAAGAAGAAGTGGAAATAAAAGATATCATAGAGAACTTCATTAAAGCAAAGAATCCATCTTTCATTCCAACGGATATAAAAGTTTTTCTTACGAAAATTGTTAATGATCTAGACTTGTCTAATATTGATAGCAATCGAAAGAACTTCATAGTCTTTGATGACTGTGTAGCACAACGAACTGCTCAACAAGAATTCTTCACGTCACTGTATATACCAATCACAATCTTTCTACGGAATGGATGCAATGTTCATTAGGAAAAACGCAAATTGTTTTTTATTATTTGAATTAAACAACAAACACGTATCTCAAATCATTCAGTCGATAAATCACGGAATGGACAGAGATACATTGAAAAAGGTTTGTGAAACACAATGGAGAAACCCAGATGATCATAGATATGTATTTGTTCATACTAGAAAACCTGCGGTTTTTTTTAAAATGGATAATTGGAATAATATTTTAAAAAGAAATAGAGAATATATCAAAGCTAAAATAAAATAAAGACATAAGTTGAAAATAACAAATTACAACGACTTGGATTAACAGAAAATCTACAAACTCTATTTCAACCAATATTAAAAACTTAAGAGGATATTAAAAAGAAATTAGAATATAGACCCACGCCTCGTATAGAACCCACGCCTCATAAAGATCACCCCGAACCAATTGAATATGGTGGTATTATAATTAGGACATTAGATGATATATATCGTCTTTTTTCAAACCCTGAACCAGAATTACCAAAGAGCATTACACCAATCGTTGATGATGAGGTGTTATTGTTTAATGGATTTAGAATAAAATTTAGTGGAAATTCACCACAATTAAAATCGATACAAAAGACTTTATATCTACATTAACAGTAGTACTAGACCATTTCATTCCATAGGGAAAGTGCGACCATATTAAAAGATCCCAAAATAGACCTAAACATCGAAAACGATAAACCAAAACCCGGTAAAGAACCAGTCAATAGAGTTGACGCCGCTGTGCTTAAACACAACATACTATACAGAAACAAAGACATAAACTTCAGACACGAAGCAGACAGACAAATGATAATCGAACTTGAAAATATTCCAAATCCAACTTTCAAAGAGAGAATGCAAAGGGCTCTAATCATAAAACTGTTAAAAGCAAAGATGAAATTGGGCATAGGATTAGTGGATGAAATTCATAAAGAATTTAGAAAAACTAAAAACTTTTTAAAAGTTGGTGTTTGAAAAAGATGAAATATGGTCAGCCGATTTAATTAATATGCCAGTCGAAAGAGGATTTAAATATTGCTTAACAGTTGTAGATTTGTATTGTATACGAGATATGCATGGGTTATTTCTTTGAAAAACAAAACAGGATTATCAGTCAAACACGCATTTGAAACGATTATGAAACAATCTAACCGACATCCAGAAAAACTATGGGTAGATAAAGGAAGTGAATTTTATAACAAAACTATGAAATCACTTGGGTTTGAAATTTACAGCACGCATAATGAAGGTTAGTTATTGAGAGATATAATACAACTCTAAAAAATAAATTATTCAAAAAGTTCACGGAATTGAAATCCCAAAAAATTGGCTTAAAATATAACCAGAGGTTGTAGATGAATACAATAACAAAATTCATTCATCTATAGGTGTCACACCAACACAAGCCACAAATAATCCAAATATTATAAAGTCAATTAACGCACAACATAACTACGAAAATGAAATAAAGAATTTGAATATCAAACCCACATTTAAAGTCGGAGATCGAGTTCGTATTTTCAAATATAAAAGCAAATTCGAAAAAGGTTACGTTGGATGCTGGACAAACGAAATATTCATCGTTGATGAAGTAAACACCACAGCACCTCCAACATATGAATTAATCGATCAAGACAAAGAACAAATCATAGGTAGGTTTTATCAAAACGAACTTCAAACAACCGACTTTTAAAAATGAATATCTTTCTCGATAAATATGGAACTGATACAACCACAAACTTTCAACTTATGAGATGGGCGAATGAGTTAAATATATCACCGTTTTATTATTGTATGAGAGATGAAATAAATGATCTGAAATATAAGAAAGGAAAATTTTATGCTATAACAAATATTCATACTTCCGATCAAAAAGGAGTTCATCATTCAGCTTTGTACAAATACTCTTCAAATAACTTATATTTCTTCGATTCTTTTGGATTAGAACCCACTGAAGAGATAATGAAATTGACTAATCAACCAATCAAATTTCAAATTCAATTACCGGGACAAAAGTTTTGTGGACAGCTTTCACTTTGGGTTTTATATCAATTGAGTTTAGGAAAACAGTTTGAAGAAATTATAATAAATTTAACTCAATAAAAATGGTGAACAAGTTTATATTGGGTCCTTTATCTTTAGAAACTAAAAAACCTAACACTACAGCGTGGATAAATAAAGCGAAACCTTACTTTGTGGATCAAATCGGAGACACCTATGAGCATTAAAACGGGTTCTTAAATTATCCTTAGTTTCTCCTACATATTGTTTGGGGCATTTCTTGCTTGAAATTAGATATATTACATTCGAATGTTCACATTTTAGATGTTCCTGGATCGGGTACCTTTTATTCGTAGAGTTGCTTACAAAATAATGAGTTTCTGATATAAAGGGACCAGGATACCAGGATTATCCACATTTCACCAATTAATTGAAATTTATGATAAAATTTATTCAAATCTAGATAATAAGGAATTTACAGCCACGATCCTTTTTGTCATCTCGAAAACTTTTGACAGAGTTTCTATATCTATATTAATTATATTCAAGAAGGTCTTTAAACTTCTACACGTCTATTTGCAGATGACACTGGTCTAATAACTTCATCAAAAAGTTTTTTTAGAAGTTGAACAAAGTGCACATCGTGACCTTGAATTAATTCAGAATAGGTGTTCAAAATGGCTTGTTATCTTTAATTCTGATAAAATGTTGTCGGGTAGGGGTTAGGGGTAGAAATAACAACACCGAGGGTTCTAAGGACTAGATGTTTAGTATTATATTGATCTACCCTGTAGAGGGGTTTTAAACCAATAAACCAATGGGAGGGAAAGTACCTAACCAGAGGAGTAGGATCTGGATATAAAACTTGCAAAATACAACATAGCTGCCACCCTGATAACCAGGATAAACAAAGGTAAACAATAGATTAAAAAAAAAAACAAAAAAAAAATACGAAAACATAGCAGGGCGTTCGCTTACGACAAATGCGCACAACAAAATTCAATATTCCTATCTAATTTATAATTGGATTATACACATACCTAGCAAGTTTGGTTAAATTCGGATAAGAAATAAGAAAATTGATAATGCGCATGCGCACAACAAAAATTCAATATTTCCATCAAATTTAGAATTTGATTATACACATATATACCGAGTTTGGTGAATTCGGATAAGAAATAAGAGAGTTGGTGATGCGCATGCGCACAACAAAATTTCAATATTTCCATCAAATGTGGAATTGGATTATACACATACATACCAAGTTTGGGGATAAGAAATAAGAAAGTTGGTAATGCGCATGCGCACAACAAAAATTCAATATTTCCATCAAATTTAGAACTGATTTATAGACATACATGCCAAGTTTGATGAAAATCGGATAAGAATTAAGAAAGTTGGTAATGCGCATGCGCACTACGCAAATTGGATAATTCCATCAAATTAAGAATTTGATTGTACACATACATTCCAAGTTTGATGAAAATCGAATGAGAAATAATAGAGTTGGTAATGCGCATGCGCACTAAGCAAATTCGATTATTCCATGAAATTTAGAATTTGATTATACACATACATTCCAAGTTTGATGAAAATCGGATAAGAAATAAGAAAGCTGGTAAATTAAGTGGAGGTATCCCTTTAATGTGCTTCTCTACGCTAAACTTACAGTATTGATAAGTTCAATCCACCCTAGAGCTTATTTATATACCGCAACTGGACATAAAACATATTAAAGGAATGTAGAAGGAAGGGTGTCTTTAAAACAACTTAAACTTTGATTTCTATTGGGGTTGACAGTCAGGTTAATCTAATTAGTCGATTTATCTAATAATAGTCCCATGTTAAGTAAATGGGGTTTTGAATTTGCATGTAAGGCATGCATGTTATATATCACTGGAAAGCTCAAGATCTCAGCATTATGAATCCGAAAGAATTATTGCTTTACCTCTAATGGGGCACATGTGAGGACGCTTTAAAGATGCAGAATCAACTTTCAGTGACACCCATAAAACCGAAACCACGTGTCGGACACAAAAAATATTAGCATCATGTAAAACCTGAAGTCAATAGTAAACATTAATGTAAATATCAACGTCATCCGAGGCCAAGTTCCTTTGATAGACGCATTCAAAGATTTAAGGAAATTGCAACATTTCTTTTAATGTGACTCTGACATCATCAAATGCCATATGAATTGAAACCATTTATTAAGTGCATTAATAATCTGAAAGTGGTGTGGCGCTAAATCAATTAGGTTTCGGGGAAGGGAGGGTTTGATTCTCCCAAATGTACAGGCCTAGGGTGGAGCAGACACTTTATTTAGAAATTAGGATTAAGGGTCTTGATATTGGGTTTTCTTCTGTTCTTATTCTGATCTGAAATTAGAAAAAATAACTCGCCCGATGGGCGAGAAGTATAGTATCTGTTATGTACTGATTGTTTTTAGTTTGCTATGAACAATATTATCATTTAAGTTCTTATTTTTTGAATATGCAACTATCATTTTCTGCTTATAGACATGGGGGAATTTCTCTTGAAGGCTCTTATAGTGGGCATGAACTATCTTGCTTGCTCGATTGCTGGTTGTATTAAACGGGACAACAAAGGGTGCTATGCCTACATTATGATGAATATTTAGTCCTATAGGTCTTGCTGTATTCAATGTCTCAATCCAATGGGCCTCCCTAGATTGACGGAATTTGGTAGTTTCATCTTCGGGCAAGTCAATTTCTATACGCTCAATTGGGATTAGGGTGAGATCGTCTATTGAATGGTCGTCGAGGTAGAAATGATTAGAAACAGGCTTGTCTTTCTTTAATTTGATGTCTGACCTATGAGCATTAAAGCGAGTTCGTAAATTATTCTTAGTTTCTCCTACATATTGTT